CTCTCATAACATTTAATATTCAGTAATAAAGTTACATTCTGAATTGCAGACAAGTGCTTTTTTTGTTTGTTTATTTGTTTTGTTTTGTTTTGTTTTGTTTTTCAGCTCCATTTGGAATCTGTATCTATAGCCCTAGGACCTAGACACAGGTCAGATAGGTGATTCACAATTACATCTGCCTTAATTTTGGGTGATAATTGTAATGTACATATATTGTTGTAAGAAATTCACATCTTGGAAGCATTATATTCTAATGTTCATACTGAGATAAGTGTTGTTTGTGGATAAAATTATATAAAGTCACACAGCTAATAATAAAAAAAAAAGTTCAAATTCATGTCAATTTTGCCTCAGGCATTACTTTTTAGGGATTGTAAAATAAAATAAAAGTTGTTAAGGCTACTTAAAAACATTCTTGTTATTACAAGGATTAAGAGAAGTATTTTTACAGTGAGTTAAGCTTGAAAAATATCACAAGAGACCAGCAGGTGGCATGGTGGCATGGCTGACCATGATTTGAGTCCCAGAGCTGCCCACTTGCTTTCTCACTTTCCCTCTCTGTCTTTCTCTCTCTGATCAAATTTTCAAAACAATAATAAATAAAATTAGGGACAAACAGTTGGAGTAATGGCTACATCGCTGGACTCTCATGCAGTCGACCACAGTTCGAGTCCCAACCCTGTGGCTTAAACTCATGCCAGGCGCATGTGCATGTATGCCCAAGATCTCGAGAGCAGAATGGAGGAGAAGAGATTACAGATTGGCCATCCCCCCTGAGGGGTAATTTCTCTCTTTCTGTCTCTCTCTTTCTGGCGAGCACACATGCCCTATAGAAAAAAAGAAAAGAGAGAGAGAGAGAGAGAGAGAGAGAGAGAGACTAGTATATGCCTATTTAGTATGGATGGTGAAGTGGCTATTTGCACAGACTCAATATCAATTTATTGTCTTTCCTTCCAAGATGAATTGAGAAAACTACAGTTTTATATTTAATTATTTCATGGAAATTGCCTTTAAAGTTAAATTTCACATAATTAGACTGACAAGCCCATTACCAAAGGATACATTGTACTCCACATATAAAAATAAATGCCTAAACTTCTTACAGGAAAATTAATATGTGGGATCCATATGGCCAACCTCAGTTTGAATCCTGGTCCCAAAGGCTCCAAAGCCATGTCAGGTGTGTGTGCTTATGAGACCAAAATCATGAATAGTGGGAAAATGGAGAAGGTTTTTTGGTGTGTACACCTCTCATTTGAGGGTTCTCTCTCTCTCTTTCTGACAGGTGCATGCATCCTCGGGCAATTAAAATGAAAATGGTAATAATATATTGATGTGAAACTGTGACATGTGGTAACATGCTGGGAGGCAAGTCCCCTGACAGGAAGTAGAAAGTAGAGTAGACTTCAGGCACCAGCCTCTTTTTAGAGGTATGTGATTTTACAATCATGAAATTCATCAGCCTATACCATTCCACAGCAATAAAAACTCAGATGTCTCGCAAATTAGACTTCTGACTTTCCATTCTGCCAAATAAAAGAATTTTAAATATATGCTTATTACTGCTATCACTTTAAAAAAGAACATTTTTAACAGGAAAAAAAAACTTATGAAAGTTACTTTAATACAAAAAAGACACTTTTTGAGAGAACCAGCAGTTAGCGTAATGGCTATGTCACTGGACTCCCACGTAGTCAACCATGGTTCACATCCTGGACCCGGTGGCTTAAAACTCATGCCAGGCGCGTGTGCATGCGTGCCCAAGATCCAAAGAGGAAACTGGAGGAGAAGGGATTGTGGCCTGACCATCACCCCTGGGGGGTGATTTCTCGCTTTCTGTCTGTATGTCTCTGTCTGTCTGGTGAGTGCACATGCCCTATAGTGAAAACCTCTCTAAAAAAAAAAAAAAAGACACTTTTTGAATTAGATTAATTAGAGGTGGAGCATTAACTATTAGGTTGCCAGGAAAGTCATGTCACATTTTTGCACAGAAAAATACATACATGACTTTCCTGACATACTTTTCTTTTGTTCTCAGACCAGTAAAAAGATTTTGAAATTCTTTCATGATTGAGAGAGAGAGAGCAAAGACTTAAAAGAGAGAAATAGGAATCCCCAAAGTGGGTCTCTAGATGCTTCAGTCCTCTTCCCCCAGCCCTGCAGCTAGTCAAGATCACAGATTCCCAGTGTCTTTCAGGCTGACTGGGGACATGAACCACAGTGGGTCATTTGGCTCCAGCCTCACAGACTGGAATTCCACCATCTGCACCATCGGCAAGGCCATAACAGTGAAAAGATTCTCACATGCCCAACACCATCAGAAAGTGGGCTCTTGGGAAACTACTGCTCAGTCACATCAAAATCACTTCCCCTCAGTTCTCCTCTTGGGATTATGGGCAAAGCACCCAAAAACACACACACTCAGCATGATTTTCAAGCTGCTGGTTCTGGGACTAAAACCAAGTGGAAAGTTAGGGCCAAGTGGACAGACAGTGCCTTAACAACCATGCCACCTGCTAGACCCATTTTTAAAGATACTTTTTGTCTATACATACATATATATATATATATATATATATATATATTAGGCATTTTTGATATATGGTGTATGCACTTGCTAGAGAGACAGAAAGTGAGAAATCAACCCCAGGGGAGATGGTCATGTCACCCCTTTTCCTTTATTCTCCTCCTGGGATTTGGGCATGTACATGCACATGATCTGGACATGAGTTTCCAGTCTCAGGATCAGAGACTTGAACCAGGGTCGGACATGTGGGAGTCAACAACTTTAACCACTATGCCTCCTACCAGCCCCCAAATAATGTATTTAAGGTGCACTCTTTTTGTGGGGGGGGGAGAGATTTTCACTTAGGGTGCGTGCGCTCGCCAGACAGACAGAGAGAGACATAGAGACAGAAAGCGAGAAATCACCCCCCAGGGGGGATGGTCACGCCGCAATCCCTTCTCCTCCATTCTCCTCTCGGAATCTTGGGCATGCACGCACACGCGCCCGGCGTGAGTTTTAAGCCACCGGGTCCGGGACGTGAACCGCGGTCGACTACGTGGGAGTCCAGCAACATAGCCATTACGCTAACTGCTGGTTCCCAGGTGCACTCTTGATTGATATATGTGCATACTAAAATGAGGGCCATAATTAAGTTAATCAACATATCTATGACCTCACACAGTTACTTTTTTTGTTTGTGGTGAAAACATTTAAGATCTACCTTCTCAGTGAATTTCAGGTATAGATCACAATATTGTGAACTACAGCCACCATGCTGGGCAAGTTCTGCAGATCCAATTCCATGGGACTTACTAGGTGTGAGTTAGGCCTGTGATGACTCTACTCACAGTAGCAGTATTAGATTTAAAGTATCACAAGGCTTCTAATAAATACAACAGTGTCTTAGCTTTACCTAATCCACCTTGGCTCATTTTCATGAGGTCATGATCAGCAATGATTTCAATGACTTTTGAGGGACGTTTATCTCTAGATTTATAAGTGAAATACTTACAGGGCCAAATCTTAATCTGTCTATTGATCACATAACCTATGTTGGTAAAGAGAGTAAATTGACAACCTCCCATGGCAGGAAAGACTTTGCAAGCGTGATTCAAATATGGTTCTTGGGATGGGGATATTGGCTTGGCTTATCAAGGCTGATTCAGTAAAATCTAAGCACATAATATTAGGGGAAATTAGACCTAAATACATGTTATTATTGACATGTGGATGAGGGTCCTAACTCTAGATCAAATTAATTTTTCTACTTTACTCACTCTGCAGCAACCTTCCTTTCCAGGTTGACACCCTGTATATTCCTTTATCTAGTGTTCACTTATATCTTATACAATATCCTTTACTATGAACCAGTAATCAAAAGTGTTTCCTAAGTTCTGTGTGCCACTGTAGTAAATTAATCAGATCCAACCTCTGGGTTAGGATGTAGGAACCCCAATTTATAGCTAATAAGACAGAAACACACATAAAGACCACCTGAGGCATATGCCTGACATATGAACATTGGGAGACAGTCCTTTATAATTTGTCAGATGGCTATGTACTCACCATAGAATATACAGAGACAAGGACACAGACAAAGAGAAAGAGGCAGAGGCACAAGAAAATATCCACACCAATGAGGCATGCTCATACAAAAATCCCTTCATTTCTCTACCCTTTTAAGATTTGGAGCATGCATGTTTAAATAACCTGGGCTCAGATTTGAACTGCATGGTCAGCCATGTGTGATCTGGCTACCTTAAGCACCAGGTCATTGAGCCAGAGGGCAAGGGGGCAGTGGCAGTGTTGGGAACTGAGCTCTCAATCTGTGAAATCTCACACAATATCCAATAGTATCAGAGCTGAAATGAATCATTGGACAGTCATTGTGTTTTGGTGCAGAAGGGATTGCTTGCTTGTATATGCATGTGCTTGGGGGCACCTGCTTGGTCCTGGAAGTTCTGTGTGGATTGTTGATACAATAGGAGAAATAGAGTTGTTTTTTTTTTTTTTTCCTCAGTACTCTTACATTGTTGCAGATAGGGTGGGAGATTGCTAACAAAGGGCAGGAAATATCTCTAGGTTGATGGAACTATGCCTGGGTTATATAAGCACACATTTTGCATCTGTCAAAATTTGTTGAATAGTATGTACAATTGGCATCTGTTTATATCAGTGTGTTAAAGTATATCTTGATTATAAAGAAAAATAGATAAATAGGTTGATGGTGGTGGAGAATGCTACCAGTGTAATTTAAATCTAAAACCTGGCACAGTCTCTGTGGCACAGCAGGAAGCTAGAAAGCACATACTGACTACCATTTGGGTCCCAGGCCTGGGTGGCTGGAAAACATGCCATATATGTTCAGTCACTTTATATCGCTCCTTGAAAATCCTAAGCAACTGTTAATCCTGCTTTAGACCCTATGTGGAAAAAAACAAAAACAAAACAAAAACTGATTTTAGTACCACAAAAGGGAGGAAAGCTCACTCACAGGCAGTTCTTGCAGTCCCATGACCCCAAAATGCCATCACCAATTACTTGGGTTCGAACATGAAGAGGATTATGCTTGGCTGAGGAGGTGTTGTCCTGTGAAAATTGTCAGATTCAGACATCTGTGTTGGGACATCAGCAAGAAGCATGGCTCACTGTGGCACTGAAAGATACTCAGAGAAGAGGGAAGGGACACATATCATCCATGCTGGCCTGGTTCCAGCTCCCCTGGACTGCCCTCAGGCCTGGTTTTAGGTCTCCTAGCTCTAACATAGAGCTGATGAAAGGCCCTATTCCTCTGTTGGTGCAAAGCCTGGCTCTCTGGTAAATTCTAATAGAAAAAGGTTAGGTACCACAGACATCAGTTATCCCACAAACAGCCACAGGCCTTCTCATGCAACTCATTAAATGCTCAACATCCCACAGTTCTCAGTGTATCCAAGGGACAGTCAAGGCCTCACTCAATGAAAGCTCACTCATAGGCAGTTTTTGTAAATCAGTGACCCCAAACTGCAGTCACCCAGAACCTATATTCAAAAGTGAAGTGGATTAGGCTGGGCTGAAAAGGAGTTGGCCTATGAGAATCATCCCTCTCACAAATCTGTGTTTGGAATATTGGCACAGAGCGCAGCTCTGCCTGATCCTGAGAAATGCTCAGAGTAGGAGAGGCACACACACCCTCCAGGATGGCCTAGGATAGGCCCAGCTCCCTGTGAGTCACCCAGGACTTAGCCTTTCTAACATGGGATCACAAAGGGCCTTTTACCTCTGGGCCACAGTGCCTCACATTCTGGTAAGTTCTAAATAAACAACAGTCAGGTACCACACACTCTGTTGTTACCACAAACAGATAGAGGTCTTTCCATGCAATGAGTTAAACGCCTCAAATCTCAAAGCTTTGGGGGATATCCAGTCAGTGGATATCCAAGGCCTCTTCCAACTCCCAGGAATGCCCTCATGCCATCTCCAGACCAAGACTGGTTAGACCAGGAGCTCCAACAGGTAGAACAGCTTGAGTGGAAGGTAGGCAGTAGCCAGCAGGGATCAAGGTAAAAGTGACCATGACAAGTCACACAGAGACACCAGAGAAAGCATGATACATAGTCCAGGACCCCTTACCCACATGTAACCACTTGTCCACAGTTATGCTTCTCACCAGTACTCAGAAATCCCACAAGGGTGGGTACAATAAACATATCAAAATTCTGATCAGAGGGACTAGGATGGCCTATCGTGAGCTATTACCATCACAGCTGGACCCATAGACACCCCATACAATTTCTCTCACTTGATTAGACTGCTGTGAGGTGCTTCATCCCATAAAACTGAGGATGAGAAGGACACGTGGTAAAGTTTTGAGACCCACCAAATGGAGTGCTGGGAGTCCCCAACCTACTCTCACTGTCTAAGATTGTATGTATAAAGGTTATTGTGTGTACTTTTGTTACTTTGAACACACAAAATTTCTCTTGCCTGGGAACGTTTTGATGGGAAATAGGGATATCTTCTTGCCCAATTCCCGAGCTAAATCCTGCCACTATTCCTAAGAAAGCGTCATAACTGACTTTCATTCTGAATTTCCAATAATTTTAAAACACAGTGACACTCAAGGATAAAGACTACATGTATGGAAGAAGTGTAGAAGACAGAAACCGGTATTTTGTGAGCACATAATTTTTCCTCATGGCTCCTTCGTAAAGAATAGTTAACTCAGCCCAACTATCTACTTTGTGTCCAGCACAAAGTATCCTCTCAGGGAGAAAACCACCTGGGAGCATTGTCTTGACCAAGCACATCTACCCACAACCTGTCAAAGACTTCTTTCCCAGGTCAGCTTATTTTGATACAAGTATGTTTTGAAAATGAACTGGACAGGATGGAGAAATGGAGAAGGAATTGTGGTGTGGTATGAGCAGGCCCCACTGGGGAGTGTTTTACCTTCCCCTCTTTGGCAAGAGCATATGTACTCAAACAATTTAAAAAAAAATGAAAATATAGTGAGTCTTGTCTCTGACTTCTGCAAGTATATGTGGTACTTTTCCTGGTGCAGCCTTTGACCAAGTGCAGCAAGAGAAGCCCTTGGGACAGAAGTCACTTACCTGCCCAGGGCCTGGGAATCCACCTCCTCTCCCACGTGACTCCCTTCCATGTGGTCTGTTTCCATGTTACTGGACAGCCAGGGAAGCAGACAGATCACCAGCTTCTGAAACCCTCAAGACTGGTGATATTTTTCTCCCTGACAACTTCAGAGAGCCAGAAAGAAACCTTGCAGAATGTTCTTAATGTTCCTTTTAAAAACAATTAGAGTGACCAGCAGTTAACGTAATGGCTACGTTGCTCGACTCTCATGTAGTCTATCATGGTTCGAGTCCTGGACCCGGGGGCTTAAACTCATGCCAGGCATGTGTGCCTGCGTGTTCAAGATCCCAAGAGGAGAAAGGAGGAGAAGGGATTGCAGCATGGCCATCCCCCCGGGGGATTTCTCGCTTTCTGTTTCTCTGTCTCTCTCTCTCTTTTGGGCAAGCGCATGCACCCTATAGCAAAAACCTCTCCAAAAAAAGAAAAATAAATAAATAAAATCAATTAGAACCAAGAAACAAAGGAAAGGAATGAAGAGGGGACACTCACCAAGAAGACCTCTCACTAAGAAGCCCTTGTGCCATTTGGGGCTCCAGGGAGTGTTGCCTGTGGGCCACTTTGGGCAGCATCCATCCCACTGAAACAAGATGTGCTGAGAGGACAAGATGAGAGTCAGTGTCCTGGACTGAACATTCACAACCCACTCATCACTGTGGGAATGAGGCCTGGGGCAGCTAAGGGGCAGCAAAGGCTCTGATAGGATAGGTGGACAGACCTTCTGACCTGGACAGAGGTCATGGGGAGGAAGGATGGGCTGAAGGAGGCTGAGAAATTGGTCAGGGACTGCAACTCAATCAGACAAGAGGCTTGATCTCCCAGGCCAGGCTGGGGCTCTGGGGCTCTGGGGTTCTGGGACAGGAGCCTTAGAAGCCACATGGTACATTCCCAGGCCACAGGAGGACACTGTAACTTCAGCAGCAGCCAAATAAACGCCTTTTTGGCTTTTTGAAAACCAAAAAAGGCCCTAAACTTTTTGACTAAACCTAAAAAGGTGTGACTTTCTGGAGTCCAAAGGCACAGGGTAGGCTAACAGGTGGAGTGGCTAGGATGACCCTAGGGTAGGCCAGCAGGTGGGGCGGCCTGGATTACCCTGGATTCCACTTGGCCAAGTCCGTGGTTAAGTCTGAGACTTGCTTGAAAAACAGGCTGGGAGTCTGCACTCCTGCGACCAAAATTCCAGACGGGAAGGAAGAGGGCATTGCTGCATGACCATCCCCCCAGGAAGCTGATTTCTCACTTTCTTTGCCTTTCTCCAGAGAGCACAAGCACCCACCCTGTGGGTTAAGAAAGGCACATGTCTGGGAGAGTGATGTCGCCACTGGGTGCAAGGGGACAGGACACAGGACTGGCATGCTGGTCGCACTAAGGAGCAGTTCCTGGCCTGGAGGTACTTCAGAGCCCCCTCCACTCTCTTTGGATGGCCCTGCAGGTCCCATGAGGGCCTCTCAATCAGCGTTGTAATCCTTCCCTAATCCCCGCAACCCCAAGCCCCTAATCCCCGTTTCCAAAAGGTCGCTGCCCCTGACCACCGCCCTCTGAAGACATCTTGATTCCACACGGCCCCCTGGCTGGGAGCTCACTTGCGGGTAAGACCACCTGGACCCAACTGTCACCTTCGCCACAGTCATGGCCTCCAGCGCCGCCACTAAGACCTGCAGCCGCCTAAGAAGAACGCCTTCTCTCCTGCTCTGCGCCAGTAAGAAGCGGCCTAGGTACCCCACGCGCTCTGCCCACGCTAATTGGTCCAGCTCGAGGCGGCGGACCCCGGGTGGAAAAGCAGGGTCGGGGCCTGGGCGGGGCCTGTTCGTTCGGGCGACGCAGGTCTGTGGGGCCCACTTTCCCCTCCACGTCTACCCTGCACAGCCCCGCCCGCTCCCAGGTCTCCTGGCGTCTGCCTTAGTCAGTGGCGCTGGGCCAATCAGCAAGCGCGGGGCGGGGTCGTTGCCACAGCGACCTTTGTGCGCTGACCCCTGGCGGTCATCTCTCCCAGCAGCCCATAGGTCCTGCATTAGCGGTTTGGCCAAAGGTGGGCCTTGCCAATGGTGAGAGAGGCTGGCCAACGGGGTGTCAGGGGCGGCCTTGACCTGGGGGACTGCGCTCTGGTCCTGGCTCCAAGAAGTAAGCCTGTGGGGCCAGCGACGCCACCGCCCCTGTCACTGGGCGCAAACTCAGAACTGGAAGTGGAGCCAGTGCTGGGCCCTAACCTGACCACCACACAGTCCCGCGGCCCCCACCTGCCAGTGGATCCTGGGGCTTTCACACAGGGGCGCCACCCTTAGCCCAGTAACACTCAGAGACCTTTTCAGCCTGATTTCCTGCAGTGGCCAGGGCTGTAGCAGCGCCTGGGTCCTGGGTTCCACTCCTTGACCACCTGGCATGCTCCAGCCTCAGAGTCTGGCTTTAGTTCTCCGTGGCTGTGTCTAAAAGGGGAATCTTTGTCATACAATAAAATATTTTACATATAATATTTCATTCTATGAACTGAGTAACTTAGCAAATGTGCTTTAAATATCATTTGTAAATGTAATTTATTTGAGAATACAGAATGGCTAAATTTTCAGATAGAAGGCTTTTTTTTTTTTTTTTTTTTAGAGGTTTTTGCTATGGGGTGCATGCACTCACCAGAAAGAGAAACAAAAAGTGCGAGATACCAGCAGTTAGTATAGTGGATGTATCAGAACTCTAGCTGTTTGAGTCCCAGAACCGGTGGCTTAAACTCACACCGGGTGTGAGTGCGTGCATACCCAAGATCCCCAGAGGAGAATGAAGAAGGGATTGCAGCGTGGCCGTTCCCCTTGGGGGGTGATTTCCAACTTTCTGTCTCTCTGTTTCTCTCTGTCTGTCTGGCGAGCACACGTGCCCTATAGCAAAAATCTCTCAAAAAAAAAAAAAAAAAAAAAGAATAAAAAAGAGAGAAAGCGAGGGATCTTGGGAAGAGCGTGAGTTTAAGCAATCAGGTCCAGGACTCAAGCCACGGTCGACTACATGGGAGTCCAGCGACAAAGGCATTATACTATCTGCTGATCCCCAGACTGAAGTGTTTTTGCTTATGTCTTAGCTGGGTATAGCAGCAGAAAGTGAAAAAAAAAAATCCAAAATTTGTCCTTGAGCAAAAACCTTTATGTATATGAATTGACTCTGGGAGTGAATACCTGGAGAAAAGGACTTAGGAAATCCCATTTTTAAGTGTGGTATATTCAATATAGTGTGTTTTTGAGTTTTCACATTGAATCCTTTTTGCCCAAGGCTTATCCAAGTTCAGTGGCAGAAAAAAGCGAAATCCTCACTTTTCCTTAGAACTAAGCACTTTACATATGTCATCTTGCTCTGGGAGTTGAGTAACTGTGGAAAAAGGCATTAGAACATTCCATTCTTAGGTGTAGTTTATTTGGAAATAGACAGTTTTTCTGTTTTCAGATTGAAGCCTTTTTGCCTGTGACTTCTTCAGGTGCAGCAGGAGAAACAATGAAATTCTCTTTTGTCTTAAAACACTTTACATATATGATATGATTTGGCTCTGGAGTTGGAGTAACTGGTTAGAGGACTTTTGAAAATTCATTTTTTTTCAGTGACTTTTTTTGTTGTTGTTTAGAATGAAATAAAATCCTACCTGCTTCTTGCTAGGTGTCTTAGATAAATTAATTGTATAATGTCTAGAATGTATTTTGAAATATTCAGAGAGCATGGCCTAGTATATATAAAAGTTACTATGATTTAACTCCTAAAAAAGTTTAACTCTTAAAAACCAAAGCTACTGTACAAAACCATATGCTAACTAACTCATGAAGCTCACAGGTTTTGAATCTATTACATACATTCTGAAAAATTCTGAATTTTTTTATTTAAAATTAGATTTATTTTTAGGATCCAAATATATATTAGATTTTATACTACAATTAAGTAATGATTTCAAAAACAAGTGTGAAAATATAATCATGTAACTATACAAAATCTTCTAGAAAAAATGAAACTATTTCTGTAATTGTATATTTATTTTTAATAAATTTATTTATTATGTTTAATCACTGTGGATTATTACTGCATACCAAATGAATTTCCCCATCATGAATACACTACATATTGGTCCAAAGACATTACTGTATACATTATAATCAAGAAGTTTCTTTCCATTTTGGGTTCTTTGAATGTTTTCCTTCTTTCTTCTTCCTCTTGTTTCCCTCCCTTTTACCCTCTCCCAATTTCTATCCTCCTCCCCCACTGTTTTCAGTATCATCATTGCTGTCCATGCTTTTATATCTTCCAGTCATTCAATTACTAGATGTAGATTAATGCGGCCACAGTAATGTAAAGCTGGAGAATCTTATGATTTGTTTTCCTACTTATTGCCATACCCACCAACTAACTCCACAGCCTGTATGTGTGTTTATAGCACAAGTTCACTCTGAAAGCTTACAAAAGCCAAATCCATCATCCTCAGCTGATTGCAAGAGCTACAGAGACCACCAGGAGCATTTTTGTTCTTAAAGAAAAATTCACTTGTACAAGTGGATATAAATTGCACATAGTGGAAGCCAATTTTACTGTAAATTTTTTATTGCTGAGATTGACTCACAGAGGTTAATTTTTTTGCAAGTCAACAAAGGATGGCAGTCATGATCATTGTTTAAACAAACTGTGCAGGCAATGCCACATAAACTTTTCCTCTACTATGCTGGCAGCTCCTTTTGCTTGCACATTCTACTTGTCATGGAATGAAATCATCTGTTGATATTTGCTCTATTTTTTGAAGATGAGTGCCTCTCTAAGTACATTGGGAGCATGCGGAAACTAATTATGGTGACTTAGAAGTCCAAACACATCACAAAATGGCAGAAGCAGAATTTTGAGCAGAGCAGAGTGTGATTTCTATCCATGCGTTTCTCCATGTTTCTAAAGTTGGTTTTTAAATGTAACTTATTTGGGATAGTGAGTTGGACTGTTTTCAGATTGAAGCCTTTTTCACTTATGGCATATCCAGCTGCAGCTATTGAAAAGGGGAAATTGTTTTGATTCATCCATTTTAATCTGAAGAGAGCAGGGGTAGGCAGAAATGTCTACAGAAAACAGTACATTTTCTGACATTTCACCCAGGTGGGAGCAAAGTGTCACTTTGCCCAACAGTAATCCGAAGACTTTCCTGTCTGCTAATCCATTGTTTTGAATAGGCTGTGATTAAAAGCCACTCCCACCAGATTTGATCCTGACTTGGATCTTGTTTAGAGAAGCTTATTTTAGTCTGCACAACTCTAGTGTGAAGGTCTCACCTGGCTCTTGCCACTGCTGTCATACCTGACCAATGTCCCAACACTAAATTGTGTGTTTGAGATAGTATTGCTGTTCAGGTTTGAACCAGTGCTGGTGCTGGAGCCACTTGGCTTGCTCTGGTTTGGGGATCTGGGAACTGGTGATCCTTCTGGCAAAGTACTGCTGGCCCTGAGTAATGAAACTGGTATAGGCTGTGCCCTGAGGGCTGTTGACTCCCTTGTGTTACTCAACAGGGCTTCTGATACTGTCACTGCAGAGAGAGGCTCCAGGATCAGCCAGGCCCTGAAGGAGGTCTGGGTCTTCCAGATACTGGTGTATCTAGCAAGCAAGAGAATTGGTAGGGCTGGATGGACTTCACTCCTGGCTGCTGGAGAATATAGCCAGAAATGAAACTAAAACAGTGGGGTGTACATTGAATCCAGACTATTTGGAGATCCAGCAGGCAGTTGGGTTGGGCTTGTCAGGGTGGACTCTAACTTCAGGCTACCTAGGAATCTTGCCAGCAGCCATGCTGAACTGGTGTGAGTGGGCTTCACATCTGGGCTTCTGTAAAATCTGGGAGGGGCAATCTTTGCTTCCAGACTGCAGAGGAACCTGGCAGAGATGGAGGCTGAGCAGGAAGGGATGGACTTCACCTTCAGACTGGGGAGGAATCTGGAAAGCAGACTAGGTGGGGTGGAAATGGCTTTTCATCCAAGCTGGGCAGGGAGGCTGGGTATGGAGGGGCTGTTCTGCTGGACTCCTGCCTTTCTGACTCTTTGACGACCAGGTTGGATGCAAGTTTAGGGGCTAGGGAAGAGATCAACAGTTGAATGGAAGAGATTCACTCTGATTATTTTGCCCATGTGACTTGTCCTCTTTTTGCCTATCTGAAACTAGGAGTGTTCCCTTATTTGTATTAAGTATAGCCTCACCTAGGTTCTGCTGTCAAGATTTTTGCCAGCAGGGTTTCAATATGAAATGATAGCCAAGTTGGGAACACAAATTCATCACGTTGGATGCTCACCTGCAACTTCTTCAGTGTTGCCCCCCTGTAAAGATGGTGACAATGGACATGACACAGAGAGTCACTCCAAATGAGCATGTATTGATCACAGGGCCATTGTTCTCCTGCCATGGTAGTATTTTGGGGCCATGTATAAAAGCATGCTGTAGAAATCACCCAGCTTCTGACCCACAGAGAACCTGGTACTAAACCCAAAGTCCATCAGTTTCACTGATCCTTATCCAGCAGTGTGTTGGCTGGCTTCAGGTTTCTCTGGGCCATACTCTGACCATGGCAGCATTGGAGCACTGTTGATATGCCTCCTCCTCTTCCATGAAGGCTTGCTGGACTACATCCCTCACAGGTGTACTCCATAATGAAGTGCAAAGTGTTCTCTGTGTCAACCACTCCATCGCTTGGATGATGTTTAGGTTGTGTAGTCTTATCACAAAATCAATCTCTTCATATGGTTTCAGGAGCTGGTAAAAGCTGTGCATGCCTTCTCTGTGGAAGACCTTCACTATCACATCAGTCTCTGTTAGAATGTCCCAGACCAACTTTACCTGGCTGAAGCCACCCTGGCTGATGCATCTGAATTTGATAGAGAAAGTTCCAAAGTTGGCCTTC